AAAAAAACAAAAAACAAAAATGCTCATGGACAGTGCCCAGACTCTGATTTCAAGTCCCATGACTGACTGACAAAAAGAAAGAAAGAAAAAAAAATACAAGTTGGGGAGGCAGGGAGGGACAGGGATGGTAGGGGAAAAACAAAGGAGGTAACAATGCCCGATATGAAATGTACTAATTACCTTACTTGTGTTACTGAAACCCCTCTGTACAGGATCTTTACAAGAAAAAAATATATATACTAAAAAAAAATACAAACCTTACCGTTATGATGTACTAAAGCCCCATGTTCTATCTTCTTTTTCATGTCATAAATGTGAATTGTTTCATCTTTGCTCCCAGTGACTACAAAGCGACTGTTCACAGCCACTGCTGACAAGGAGGCAGTGTGGGCATGGTGAGTAAAGTCAGCCACAGGAGTCCATTTCTGATGGAAAGTAAAACATGTTAGTATCAATCATATCACAGGTCTCTGGAAATACACAAATTGTTCAACTAGCCATAAAAACTATCAGCGGGGGGCTGGGAAGGTGGCTCAGTGGTAGAGCGCTTGCCTTGCATGCCAGAGGCCCTGGGTTCGATTCCTCAGCACCACATAAGCAAAAAGAAAAAAGCCGGAAGTGGCGCCGTGGCTCAAGTGGTAAAGCGCTAGCCTTGAGCTGAAGAGCTGAGGGACAGTGCCCAGGCCCAGAGTTCAGGCCCCACGACCGGCAGGAAGGAAGGAGGGAGGGAGGGAGGGAGGGAAATAAGTTGGTATATAGTACAGCCACAAAATCCCAAATCAAAAAATGGGAAAAGAAGGTGACCTGTAACATTTCCATCTAGGAAATGTGAATGTATATATTCTTATTCTATTAGGTTATTGTAAAATGTATAATTCATTGTAAAACTAAAATACTCACTTTGTTTTATATTTTTTATGAAAGCTGATCTTCCCTCCACAAGATTCCATGTTCTGCAAAACAGGAAGCTTGTTTATGGCCTGATCAAGTAATTTACCAAAGGGAAAAAATACACATTTTAGGACTTCCATCTTTCTTATAACAATGTCCCAAATTTCCTTATCAAGCAGAATTATAGCTCACTTCATTGCCATGCCCTTTTCAATAGTTAAATTCACGATTTTCAGAAAATTTTTTTTCCTAAAATATTTCTTTTCCTACCATTATGAAATGGTTCATTAGCTTTCTACTTTTTGTTTGTATCACAGTAACTGCAAATGTTTGAACGAAGAAACAATATCTAATTATCACAATAAAAAAGACAGGTTGTAAAGATGCCCTTGGGCATTAATGACTTACCGTAATGTCTTATCGGTACCTACAGACAGGGCCAACTTTCCGGATGGGTGAATAGAGAGGAAAGTCACATGTCCTCTAAAATGAAATGGATAGTTAGCTTCCAAGGTGGGTGACACATTGAAATATCAACAGGAATATGACGACTCACTTGTGAGCTTTAATGGACTTCAGGCATTCCCATTTCTTTGCATCCCAGACACAGATGAGCCCATCTTCTGCGCCGCTGATTAAATGCCTATTGCCAAAGAATTTTAGGCAAGTTATTGTACCTGTGGAAAAACCAAAGTAGACAAAACTATACTCATTCTGAACATAATTCATTTCTGGTTGGGAAGTGATATTAACACTAGACTGGAGATGTCAGTTAGTGGTGGTTCTGCCCAGTTTGCACAAAACCCCAGGTTTGATTCCCAGTATGGTAAAAACAAAACTAAGTAGGACTGAGACACAGAAGGCAATGGGAATGCATGTTAAAAACACTCAACACCTAGATCCTGTTGAAGAGGAGATAGTTGTCAAAGAACCTAAGGACTGTGTAATAGAAGGCAAGAACTTATTCCAAATTTACTGGTAGAAAACAATTTTAACTAATTACACTAATTTCAGTTTTCTCTTCTTGAACACATATTAACTTCCTCATCTCTGTCCTTGGAAAATGCAACACAAACACTATGGAGGGAGAGGGGAATTAGTGTTCTGCTATGCTTGGCAACCTCAAAAGCAATGTGGAAAAACAAACTTTGAGCAGGAAATCATTACTCTTACTCTTCTTCAACTCCCCTTAGACTTCTATGACAACTGTGTCCATACTGTAGGCATTGGGACTAAAATACAGTGAAGACACCTTCTGTCTCCTAATAGGACTGTGAGAAACTTGACAGCAAGGTGAAATGTTTTATTCCTAAATCTGCTATGTAAAATACACATAACGAACAGTCCTTCTTAAAGATGCCCAATTTACCTTACAGAATACAACCCTTCCTGGCTGCCAGTGGCTCACACCTGTAATCCAGGCTACTGAGGAGGCTGAGATCTGAGGATCCCAGTTCAAAGCCAGGTGGAGAAGGAAAGTATGGAAAGCCCATGAGACTCTAATCTCCAATTAACTATCAGAAAACCAAAAGTGGATTTGTGGTTCAATGGGGTAGAGCACAAGCCTAGAGGGAAAAAGCTCAGGGTGGGTGCTGGTGGCTTAGGCCTATAATCCTTAACTACTTAAGAGGCTGAGATCTGAGGATCACAGTTAAAAGCCAGCCTGGGCAGGAACATCTGTTGAGACTCTCCAATTAACCTGAGGTGGCGCTGTGGCTCAAGAGGTAGAGCGCTAGCCTTGAGTTCAGGGACAGCGCCCAGGCCCAAAGTTCAAGCCCTACAACTGACAAAAAAACAACAA